ACCTGGAGGCGGCGCGGGCCTGGAGGGAGGGACAATCCGGAGGCGGACGGGGCACGGAGGGGACAGGGGGGGCACGGCGGTATGGAGGGGGCGAGGACACGGGTCTCTGGAGGCTGCGCGGGGGAGGCTCGCTGGAGGCGGCCCAGGGGCGGGGAGAGGACCGGGGGTATCTGGAGGCGGCCCAGGCACTGGGGGGGGGGGAAGAAGCGGCGGGGGGTCGGTCCCGCGGGAAGCAGGACGGGGGCGGCTCCTAAGGGCCGTTGCCGTCCCCGCGCCCTCTCGATCTCTGCCCCACAGCCGCAGGACGAGGCTGGGTCTGGAATTTTCTGCCGGGCCCGGTGCAGGGGGGCTCGGCGGGCGGGCGGGGGAGGGGAAGCGGGGGCTGCTCACCATGGTGGCGGGTGGGTGTTGGGAGTCTCCCCGCAGCTGGATCCGCCGAGTGCCGGTCTCAGTGGCCGCCTGCGCCGCGCCCGCTCAGTCCCGCCGCTCGCGCCGCGCTGCCGCCGACGGTTTCGCTGCAGTGGCTCGCGCTGACCCGCAACCTCACCGAGAGGGAGGGAAGAAGAGCGAGCGAAGAGCGGCAGTACAGGGCGGAGCAGCCAACATCCGGGCACCCCCGCCACAGGGGCTAATTTGCATACATACGTGGGGGGGGGGAGACTGCGCGGGACGTCATGTATTTTCAGCCGGAGGAGGTTTGAGGTTGGTCACGTGGGGGTGTATAAAATGGAGGCTGCGGGCGGGATCTGGGTTAGCCCTCACACGGGGTGGGTCACTTCGGCCACTGGTTCCTGTAGCTAGTGGAGGGAGTTTCTGCTGGGGGCTGGTTCTTCTGGGCCTGTTGCCCCACGTGGTGCCGCAGCGCTCTAGGGGCCGTGGTGGGGCACGTATCCGGACCCCAATCCTCTTCCACACCCAGCTCCCCTTCCCAAGTTTCATTTCTCCCTCGGCTGGAGGGCAGGAGCCCCCTGCAGGCAGGGAAGTCTGTGCTACTGTTTTGCCCCCTTTTCCCTCTTTGCTTAAGGGGAGGCTTTCCTGGTCCCTGCCCAGATCTGCCTAGGGCCCTTTAGAGACACTGGGGCTAAAGCCGTTGCCTTTTGAGCTGTTTTATGTCCTGGTTAATGTGGGGGAGGGAAGGACTAATCCCTATTCCGCACAGAGTGACGGTCTCTACAACCATCACCACCTGTCCCCTTGATGGTTTATCTTGCCTCCTCTGCCTTTTCTGGGAGAATCCAATGAACAAAAAGGGCTGCAGAGGTGGTTACCCTGCCACACACTAGCTGCACATAAGGAGGGATAGCTGATCCTGTGTTGTTAGCTGCCACCCTCCACCAGTTATGGTAACACTTCAATGGAGTCTTCATGCTGAAATGCACCCAAATAATATTTTACCTGTATTGTTTCTACCCAAGTGCTTTCAGTGTGTCCTTGATGTTTAATACAATTAATTATGCAAAGCTAATGTTATTGAGCTACTGGGTAACTAGTAAAAAGAACAGGAGTACTTATGGCACCTTAGAGACTAACAAATTTATTTGAGCATAGGCTTTTGTGGGCTACAGCCCACTTCACTGGGTGCATAGAATGGAACATGTAGCAAGGAGATATATTTATAAATACATACAGAGAACATGAAAAGGTGGGAGTTACCCTACCAACTCTAAGAGGCTAATTAATTAAGATGTGCTGTTATTAGCAGGAGAAAAAAAACTTTTGTAGTGATAATCAAGATAGCCCATTTCAGACAGTTTGACAAGAAGGTGTGAGAATACTTAACATGGGGAAATTGATTCAATGTGTGTAATGGCTCAGCCATTCCCAGTCTCTGTTTAAGCCTAAATTGATGGTATCTAGTTTGCATATTAATTCAAGTTCAGCAGTTTCTCGTTGGAGTCTGTTTTTGAAGCTTTTCTGTTGCAAAATTGCCACCTTTAAGTCTGTTATTGAGTTACCAGAGAGGTTGAAGTGTTCTCCTACTGGTTTTTGAATGTTATGATTCCTGATGTCAGATTTCTGTCCATTTATTCTTTTGCGTAGAGACTGTCCAGTTTGGCCAGTGTACATGGCAGAGGGGCATTGCTGGACATGGTGGCATATATCACATTGGTAGATGTGCAGGTGAACGAGACCCTGATGATGTGGCTGATGTGATTAGGTCCTATGATGATGTCGCTTGAATAGATATGTGGACAGAGTTGGCATCGGGCTTTGTTGCAAGGATAGGTTCCTGTAGGGTGACCAGATCACCCAAGTCAAATATCTGGACGCGGGGGGGACGTGACCCGGGGGGCGTGGCCAAAAAAAAAGAACCAACACCCTTCCTCCACAAGCGCTGAAGGGAGGCCTGGGAGACGCAGGGGAAGCGCGGGGCCAGGGTGAGTGAGAGTCCGGCCTGGCCCCGAGCAGGCAGGACTCGGGCGGTAGGGAGAGTAGGGGGGCGGCCTGCGGGGCCAGGCAGCGGCTGTTCTCCCCCACTGGGCAGCGGGACTCGGGAGCAGCCGCTGCTGCAGCTCCTACTGCCGCGGGGGGAGGAAGTGGCCGATGGCCAAGCTCGGCGGCTGCGGCTCTGGCACCCGGGCCCGAACCCCCTGGGCCTGCTGCGGGGACCCAGCAGCGCGCACGCTGCGCCCAGCCCCTGGCCAGTCGCATCTGGGCTGTTGCCCAGCTGGTGGTATTCCTGGGTGGCCCCGCAGTGGGGGCAGCAAGCCCCCCCCCCCCCCCCCCCC